TTTAAAATATTGTGTCTCCCTGAATATGCACTGAATCCTTGGAATAACTGAATAACTTGGGAATAATAATAACTGAATAGCTAATAATAACTGCATAACTTCTCAATAATCTAGGGAATAGAAAGCACTAGTCTGCAAAAATGCAAAAATCTTATGGAAGGAAAAAGAACAACTACAAATTGCTCATATCCAGCAAAATAAACAACTGATCTTCTGAGTTTCAGGTGGAATCCTACAGAATGAGGGCTGGAATTGATGGTGGGATGAACACCACCATCATCATCATCATCACCCCAGCACCACATATTGAATATTCCTGCATTTGAATCCAGTCCAGTGTTCTCCAAGTTGGTTTTTGCAGTTCTTGTCGGTAGGTATTTCAAGCCAAAGCATTTTAGTTGAGTTTTGTTTTAACTGACAGAAAAGGAATTGTGTGACAGCTTCACAGAGAGATGACAAGACAGCACAGATTATTTCTAATATAAATAATTAAAAATTATATTCTAGGCTCAGGTAGATATTGAACATGTCAATAGCAGAAAACTGCAGTGATGCTGTCTTTTTCCTCATTGATAGTCCCTTACTTTGTCCTAATTGTAGTTAGAATTTCATTGAATTGGAAGAAGAAATACTGGCAAAAAATTCCAAACAAAAAACCCTTTAAGACCCATAAAATTTCATTTAAATGCAACAGAAATACAACCTGTCAGAAATTATTCCATTTTCTCAAACAATGGCAGGTTTCCTCTTTCCTTTAAACCCTGCTATTTTGAAATTTGAATGTAACAATGGGAAAATTAATTTTTATTCATTTCTAAGAGAAGTCCTACATTTAACTCAGGATGCTGAAAATGTGCCTGGGTGTATTAACAATTCATTCTTCAAGTCTCAACGAAATCTATCCAATATTAATACAGAGGCTGCACTGTACAGAGACTTGTCAAATGCTCACATATGTAAATTCAGGAAATAAGGAAAGTTATATGTGGACTTTCTTTCACTGACTTCTCAGCACAGCTACAGAAATGACTCTTAAAACATTCTCTTAAATTTTTGAAATGTTCAGTCCTCAAGGACAAACATTTCTCCCCATTTCCTTCATAATTTCTGCAAGATACTTTTTCATTTTTTTAGCACAGGAACAACCAAGGCTTTTCCCCCCCATGACTTTTACATCCACACAATACTTGAATTGAGAAATTTATACTATAAAAAGATTTAAAGGAGTTTCATTGACAGATCATCCATTGATACTGGGAGAAAGCAAAGAGAAATGTCTTAGTGCAGTCAGGGCAAATCTGAAGGGCCTGGAATCAAAATCAAAATTATCACAACTGAAAAACATCAGTGAGTGAGTGAATCTTGCAGGTTGCTGTCATAAGTGATCAGAACAATTTCAAATAAAAATGCAGGCACAGCAGTTAGCAGAGGAGAACAATGAGAGCATTGTTGAGGCTCCTTGATGACAGATTTCCAAACTGCAACACTCATAAATAACTTACGCAACCCCAGCGCTCAGCAAATGCCACAGCAAAAGGGTTTCATGTATTCCTGAGATGGTAAAAAGGGGAAACATCTGCAAGGGCAGGGGAATATCCTGACTATAAACAGAAATTGTAACATAATGCCAACAATACCATCCCTGATCCCAGTGTCTGCCCCTTCGTGACACGCGGTGAAACTGAGAAACATTCAACGTGAACTCAGTGGTAAAAAGCCACTCCAGCAGCTCAAGTTCCCAGCAAATGGAGGAGAAAGTTGGGAAAGACCTTGAAAATTAGCAGAGAACCTTGTGCTGAATTTTATACATTTCATAGTGGGGGTAGTTACATGAGAATGACTGTAGTAGGGGAAAGAGAAATCTCTTTAAGGAGAAAGAGTCAGATTTCCAGCACATGGGTGCTAAATTTTAACTCCAGAAGAAATGTGAGATATGGGTAAAAAGAGAGTGTTTTTACATCTTTATATCTGGGTTGCTTGGTGGCAATTATCTTTTGTGACATTAAACTCTGCATCTGTGGGGTCTCCTTGTTCATTGCACGATGCACAAGAAGGAGAGCAATAAAAGGAAATGTTCATTGCCCTCACTAAAATAGGAACACTGGCAGTTTTGCACTAAATACTAACATTCATGATTTAAGGCTTTAACCAATTTTCTGCAAGGATCAGATCTTTTTCCCAAGGAATTGCAGCTTCTCACTATAACATAAAGAACAAACAGCCTCATTTTGCTCCCAACAGGGTAAACATGTTAATTTGCCCAGTCAGTAATAACTAATGTTCTCTCCTGTAAGTAAAGCAGTTGTTACAAATGGGTATCTGTGGGAAATGGATCTGTACAGAGTTTTTAGGGCTTGATAGATGCTTCACACAGTATGTATTTGTATGTAAACTTTGAGATAAGAAATGCTGATTTAGAAATGCTATGGAATAGAACAGACATTGTTGTGAGAGAAATAGAGCTAGAAACACGTTTCAAAGGATGGCTTTGTAAATAAGATTGGATACTTTGGAAAAATAGAACTATGAAAGATCCATTGTAGTAAGATTTATGCGGAGAAGTTTTACATTAGGCAGCTATAGTATGGTGCAAAGAGCTGACAGGCCAAGAAATGCTTATGGTGTTTTGTAATTAAGAAATAGTCAGCTTCTGATTGTGATGGCGTGAATTATAACATCTGTATTGTCTCACCCTTCTCATGAGACTGAAAATGGAATAAAAGTTTTCAAAATGTCCCTCAGTTGTCCCATCTCTGGGTCAGGCAAAAGTATTGTCCAACAAATATCCATCCTAAAGAACTCAGGAATCTCCCTTGCTGGTGCCAGAACAAGTTTGGCACCAGAGGAGCTCTCGCTGCTCTCTCGGTGCCCTGAGCTCTGACAGGGATATTTGACATTCCAGCACAGCTTCTGCAGGACCAGAATAAGACAGAGGGGGAATCATACAAGGAAAGATCGGCCCAGAATAAAAATAGATTGGTTTCCTGCTGCGACCATCCCAAAATTCCTGAACAACTGCCTGCAGGAAGCTTCTCTGGCACGTGGCCTGGGCAGGACAATTCTGGGTAGGGAAGAGTTGGCTGCTTGCATGTCTGGCCTCTGCAGCTTCAAAAGCAGAGAAATGAAGAAATGACTGAGTCAAAATGAAAAGCACTCAAATCTCCAAACATGCAGATCATTAGCAGCTTCTCCTGAGTCCTCTAGCTGGGCTGGATGGCTTCAGGATGTAGTGGAATTCTTCTAAAATTCCTAATTCATTAGTTTTGTGCTTTAGGAGTCACATAGTGACAAGATCTCAAGAAGGAAAATGCTGACAAAAGAAAAACACAATGAACAGAATGCCAGCAAATAAAATTCTATCTGTGCTGAAAGTCTGAACCTCCAGTAATTCTAACGTGGAGCAGGATGAAACACTAAATTACCTTATTAAAAAACAAACCCTCACACAACAAACCAACATAGAGACTACAATTAAATCGTAATTGGATTTGTCGTTTCAAAGCATCAGCATCAGATTTCCCCATAATGCAGGGTGACATATTCTTATGCTAATAAATAAAGTTAGCAAAGTAAACAAAAGCTGTGTTTCTACTGTAAGGAAATCCGTGAGCCAATGGAGCAACCTTTTCAGCACACAAGAAATTCAATCCCCAAACCACACGAAAAGTGATCTCTCTGGGAATAGCACAGCTGCTAAAATCCAAGGCAGTTTTTATTAAATCATCAAGTCTGTTTATGTAAAACGGGCCTCTCTTAAAATGACCTCCAAGAGGAAATGATTTGCTAAGGAAAAATTGATCCCTGCATTGAATTTATCTGCATGGATATACATTTTAATTGTTTTTACATGGCACTGTTTCCTGAATTGGAGATAAGGAGAAAATAAGAGGAAAAGAGAAAGAAAAAAGCTTCTTCTAACTGTTTAAATTCTCCACAATCAAGGTTTCAGCTACTGCTGAGCTTTCAGCTCTTCAGCAATGTAGATCCAACTGCTGTTATTTTTAGAAACACTTAACTTTAATGCTTCAACTTTTGAAGAGAAAATGCAGATTGAGAGTCCTTCCAAACTTGTCAGATGTACCCAGATAGCCCAGAGGGGAAAAAAAGAATCACTGGAGAAGAAGATATTGTGCAAGTTCTCCAGAAGATGCCAGTGCCCCACTATGGTTTGATGGCTCTTTGAAAGGAGGACGAGGGCAGTGAAAGGAACAGAAAGACCTTCCTGCAAGCACTCCCTCAAGGTACAGGAGGGTGAAATAAATTCATGACGCTCCAAGGACTTCAAACCATGAGGCAAAACCCCTCTGAATCTCCCTGCTGAGAGATCCCAGGGAAAACTTCAGGAAGTTGCACTCCATGGCCAGCAAAAACTTGCCAGAGGGAACTCTTGAAGGCCACAGGAGAGGGAAACAATGCAAGAGCTGCCCCAGAGAGCCAAAAACCAGCTGGGAACTCTGAGGTGACTCAGGACTGGCAGCACCAGCAGCAAAATCAACAATCTGCTCCATAAAGAAATAGTAAGAAGCAATTTTCCCCCTCAATTGTTCATTATTTGTCTGTTTTGTACCACAAACCAGAAATTTTGACAATTTTGCCTATTTGGAAAGACATTAAGCTGCAGAAGGCTAAAGGGATATTTATTCAATTTCAGACGTCAGAAAGGATTTCTTAAAAAATACCAATCTCATTTCTTTCTACAAAGCTGAAAGATAATGACAGTGTTCTTGTGATGATTTTTTCAGAAGTGTCTTGGTCAATCTCTGCTTGGATTCTTCAGCTGATGGCAGCATTTATGTGGAGATAAAAAGAGCATCATGCTAAGAGGTGATGCCAAAGCAACTTGGAAAACAGCTAAAAAAGAAGGCTATGAGGGGAAAAATAACTTTTAGATGAAGTGGGAACAGATCACAAGCCCTAAGGAAGTCAGAGAAAATGTCAAAAAGTTCCCCAAAATTGACCTAGAAATATAAAAATAATAGAAAGTACAAACTCAGCCTTACCTTGGCTGAACAGGCTGTGCACTTATCAAATGCCAGGCTGACTGGAAGAACATTATCAAATCTGGATAAAAATCCTCGGATCTAGAAGATTTAAAAAAAAAAAAAAATCCCATTACTATTTTAACCATTTCCAAAATTCAATGTGAACTGGACATATATCCATTCCATAAAAAGAATATCACATTCAAACATTCATTCCCAATAAAACTTACAGTGAATTTATACTAAGTCCATATTACTGCTTTTTTCTGTACAAATAATGACACAACTGCCTAAATGCAGCATGATTTCACCAGAAATAGAGGCACAGCACCATCTGCAGTTGGCCTTTTCAGAGTGCAAAGTTCCATGAAAAATAAAAAGTCATGGTGTGATAGCTTAAACACTTTTTTCCCCCCTATTTCTACAACCTAGAGTCTGAACTCTTAACTGTTGTGCACTCCTCAATGATGATGTTAATATGATATTACTGATAGGCAATTTTAAAATTCCAGACCACTATTTCTGCTAACAGAGGAAGCTCTGAAAACACTTTGCAGCAGGGTTTGATCATTTCAGTTGTGAACTCTTGGGAGTATTGATCACCCTTTTTAATCTGTTTATTACAATGAAGAGATATTACTAGGAACAGAACTTAACTAAACCTGCAATAAAACTAATAACACCCAAATTTTGAAATTTTAACACTGAATTTTTGAAAAACTGTTAACACATTTGAAAGTAGAGTTTGGGTTAAGTTATAAAAAAAAGTGATGTATGGTACTCAAACAATATTAATATTTTGTGATAACAATAATAAATAATTAAAATCAGCCAATTCACATAATAATTGGGAATTGACTGATTTGAATTGTTTTCAAACTCTGAAGAGATTCAAACAGTGAACTTCAAGATGCTCATATTGGCAGCTCTGATGGAGAACAGAAAACTCAGACATTGCTTTATTCACTTAATTTCTGCTCCAAATTCCTGCTCCCAACAAACTGCTGCTCAGTAGGTAGCAGGAATTTTAGGTCCATGAGTAGCACACAGTGCCAGGAACACTCTGCCTGAGCTGTGTAATGCATTAATATTATTTCTATTTCTTTTTTAATGAACATGGAGAGTCAGTCCTCTGGGGAATGGAATCAGCATTTTGTTAAAGAGACAACATCTGTGATGATCAGTTCCCAGCTCTTCAACAAAATGTTTTATCACCAATTATTTACCTGGTGAGGAACAAGCCCAAGAGAAGTGGGTGGTTCATTCATTCTGTCATCACTGCTGCTGGCCACAGCATAACCACTGCCAAAAACACAACAGGGAAAATTAGAGCAAGACAACACACTCAGAATTTCCAGTCAGCTTCCAGACATTTTGCTACAGCTTAGAATGAGTCAAGGGATCTATGTGGAAAGTCTGTTTCGTAGGAACCAAGACTTGGCATGATAATACATATAAATCAGTCTGAGACTCATCTTCAACTCCTAAGTCACTTTTTCTCTCCCAGATTTTAAAGAGAGAAAACAAGCCTCCCGTTCAAGGTGCAGAATTTCAGAGTAATTTCTGTATCACACACAGAGTTTTAAATAAGATTTGCAACACGGGACTTAATCTCAAAGCCTTTCATGTGCCTGCCACACGTTACAACAGCTTCTCATCAAAGGAAAAGGAATCCAACATTACTAATAGCAACATTTTCTTCTTTTGAAAGATTCTTAATTACTTTTCTGAGGTTAAATTCAGAGAAAGAAGAAAAACTTAAGACTTGATGAAGCAGTCCCCTCAAACACTGCACATTACAATAATTTTAATTTACAGACAACATCCCCCCTCACAGCATTGTCCTTCTTGAGGTGTAATTCCTCCTCCTCACGAAAGATTCTATTAAATCGGCCTGATTTCTCTGAGAACAGCAGCAGTGGCTCACCCTTCTGGATGCTGCAGGACAGACACCATCAGCTCCACTGCCAGGGCTCCAGCCACCATGGCCAGCCCAGGCCGACTGACCGTGCACTGCTGGTCCAGCGTCCGGTCCCTGGTGGACTGCAAACACAGACAGCTCTGAATGCAGAATAACTCCAAAAGAACCAGCTGCCCTGTACAAGACACCTTTAGTGCTGTGCAATTCATATCTGTGATCATCCAAATAAAAATCAGCTACTTCTTCACCTCATGTGCATCAACGCGGCGCAGATCCCTTCATGAAACGCCATTAAAACCGAATAAAAATTCAAGTTGCAACAAAAGAGAGATGTAATCACCATTTGCATAAGGTTCTACTCACATCCCCTGGTGCCACGACATCATTGCAGAAGTAGCAGCCCAGTTTGTAGCCAGGGATATTTGAGAAAAGAGAGGATCCCAGCAGATCAGAAGAAGCAGAGGCGTTGCTGAAATGTGAATCACCAGATTCTTGCTGTTTTGGTTTCTTTAGGCCATGTCTCATAACAACAAAAGTGTCAAATCCCAAGGCAGCATTGATGACCAACTGTGAACAATAAAGAAAGAACAACATATTTTAAGTGAGCCAAAAACGGAGGGGAAGAAAAAAAGCAGCCTTGAGGTTTTATTCACTATAAATGCCAAAAAAACCCACATGCTGTAGATGGATGAGCAACTCATTAACTGCATATTTACCATCTTAGCCATAAACAACAGAGTTTCTGAAAGGCGCAGAATTCCACATGTCAAGTCCTTAGAAAAAAACCCAAACCAAAAGAAAAGTCTGTTTCAGAAAGTCACAAGGCCTTGTCCTTCCCTGAGCCTTTCAGGACAATCTGCTCTGAATGAATGACTCCCTCTAGCTGTTACACAAACTTGTGACAAACAAGCAACAGCAGCTTCAAGCAATGAAATGCCATCTGTTATCCAAAGCAATTTCTGCTCAGTAAGGAAAGCAATTAATGATCACTTATGGGCTTCATCTGCATCTGCTTAGTCACATGGGGAGCAGCAGCAGCTGTGCTGCACAATTCCTCTGTCCTCGTTTCCCCTTTCTCTCCACTTCGTGGCAAGTGCACAGAGGAATCTGGAGCACAAATATCAACACAATGATGGCTGCAGCCAGTCAAATATAAAGGGAGATGTACTGCTTCATCTGCAGCTCCTCTTGATAGAAATTCTGGTGCAGCACTTCCTTGTTTTTCATTTTTCCAGCCAGGAGTTATTTAAAAGAAGAACTCTGAGGGAAGCTCTCTCAAGAATTAGTCATCTTAATTAGCAAGCTTTGAGCCTCATCATTGTTCTCAGTAGTTCCAATTATTTCTGCATATTCTTTCAGCCTTGGAGTAGTTTCTTTTTCCTCAGTCCTGAAGTGGAACCCTGCTGTTGAATCTGTCCAGGGCTACAGCAATTAAAATATTGCATCTTCTCACTGCATCTACTTGTAAAACCTGAATATAGTGTTCCACTTCCAAAAATGAGTAAGAGCTGCTATTAGCAGAAATTACTAACATTGTTAAACAATTGCCACTGCAATCAGCTGTTCCTTTCTTCTCAGCTTACAGGCAGGTAACTACTTTATTCTAACTAATTGAGCCTTAATTTAAAAAATCATCTGCTTTTGATAAAGAGACAATGGAAAAGTACAAGAGACAAATGAAAAGTATCTTTTGGCATGGATTAGCAAAAATAAAAAGCAAATTTTAACAAGGTCCAGGGCTCAGCAGGAACAGAGATTTAACATCTGACATGAGGATTTAGCATTTGAGGGGCTGGTTTGTCTGAGGTGCTTGTTTTGGGCAAGGACTGCAGGAATGGGAAAAATCATCGAGGCACTTGAATGATGCAGTGGGGAGAACAACTCCTGCTGCTACCCACAGACCTGGGGGTGTGCATTGTACACAAATCATCTCTCACAATCTTTATTTTCTTTTTAAGACCTTTAGGACCAAACTGTGCAGTACTTGAGATCTGCAGGTGCCACACAAAATCACATCTGAAGCAGAGCTTTCATTGAGTGTTTATCAACATGAAATACTGGGCATTCCTTTGGACACCTTTAGATTTCCCTGTGGTTTTTTTTTCAGTGACACAGAATGCCAACAAAAAAGTTTCAAAATTTATCCTTAAAATTATATGAATGCTGCAAGAAAAATGTAGTGGGACACTGCTGGCTAAGAAAACATGGGAGAGAAGTTTTTGGAGATCATAAAACTAGTTTATCCTGATTGAATCAGACAGGATTCATATAAAATATGCACATAAAACTCCACATATTGCTGGAAATTACCAGACACACCACGTGGAAGAGTAGGCTGGCCCTGGCACTTCCCAGCTTCAAATTTTGAAATGTAATTTGTGAAAAACTGTTAACAGATTTGAAAGTAGAGTTTGGGGTGAGTTGAAGAAAAAAAGTGCTGTATGGTACTCAAACAACATGAATATTTTGTGATACCAATATTAAATAGTAATAAAAATCAGCCAACTCAGAATAATTGGGAGTTGGATGATTTGAATTGTTTTTAAACTCTGAAGAGATTCAAAAAGTGAACTTTAAGATGCTCATATTGGCAGCTCTGATGGCAAACAGAAAGGTCAGAAATTGCTTTATTCACATGATTTCTGCCTCAAACTCCTGCTCCCAACAAACTGCTGCCCAGTAGGTAGCAGAAATTTTGTGTCCATGAGTAGCACAAACACAATGCCAGGAACACTCTGCCTGGGCTGTGTGATGGGTTAATACTTATTTTATTTTTTAACAAACATGGAGAGCTGGTCCTTTCGAGAAAGACTACAGGTGCAAGCTGCAGAAAGGTTTAAGTTATCAAGTTACACACACTTACAGCTGTGGGAATCCAGGGCTTCCCTCTGGCTGCCCTGGCAGGTCTGGGACCCTGGCAGGGGTCAGGAAGCCCCCTGGACAGAGCCCCAGAGACACTGTCTGTGGTCTCTGCCCATGGAAAAGAGTTTTCAATCTTACAGGATGAATTACCAGCTCTGAGGGTTTGATAGAAGTAATAATTAAGTGTGGCACGGGTGCAAAAGTAAAATTTTAGGTTTCTAGATTAGGGGTTCAGAGGGGACAAGATGGAGGAAATTGGGTGTGCCTTGTCCTTTTTCTCCTTCTTCATGCCCTCCATGTCTCACTGTGGTGTTGGCATTTTTCTGTCGGTTTAGGCTGGGGACACACTGTCCAACGTAGGTGACAGATATTGGCACGTTATTGTAAATCCAGCACAGGTAGTTTGTGGTATTTAATGTTTGTACCATCCCACTGAGGGCAGAGCCCCACACGCTGCCCTGCAGGACAGAGCTGCGGCAGGGCAGCAGAACATGTTAGAGATAAACAGAATAAACAGCCTTGAAACAGCACAGACCAATTATGGCTTCTGCTTTGGCAACGGGGCAGAAAGACAGAGACTTTCTACAACCTTGGGATCATCAATACCACAGATTCTGACAACAGCTTAGTGTAAAGTTTGTGATTCAGTGAAGCCCTCACTAAAGGGACACGGATGTCTCCACTGGCACAGAAACAGAAGCCCATTCAGGGCCAGGAATGGATTTAGGATGAAGCAGACTGAAAGGCAAGGCAATGGATGATGGGGAGCACACCTTCCTCTTGCTGGCTGCAATGACGGCGGGCAGCCAGCGGCTCTCGCGGGTGTCCATCAGCAGGAACACGACGTCGTGCGCCTCGATCAGCTCCTCCAGCTGCGCCACGTCCCGCCGGGCCTGCGCCAGCGTCACCTCCGAGAAATCCACCGGGTGGCCTGGCATGGGGATGCTCATGTTATAGCCCTCTGAGCTCTGCAGGGAGGCACACACAAAATCACCAGTTCAGAAGGTACCCTTGTGATCACACAGGTGTAAAATTCACTGGGTGGATGGGGATGCTCGTGTTATAGCCCTCTGAGCTCTGCAGGGAGGCAGACACAAAATCACCAGCTCAGAAGGTACCCTTGTGATCACACAGGTGTAAAATTCACTGGGTGGATGGGGATGCTCGTGTTATAGCCCTCAGAGATCTGGAGGGAGGCAGACAGAAAATCCCCAGAACCTTGTGATCATACAGGTGTAAAATTCACTGGGTGGATGGGGATGCTCGTGTTATAGCCCTCAGAGATCTGCAGGGAGGCAGACAGAAAATCCCCAGAACCTTGTGATCATACGGTGTAAAATTCACCAGGTGAAGGGGATGCTCGTGTTATAGCCCTCAGAGATCTGCAGGGAGGCAGACACAAAATCACCAGTTCAGAAAGTACCCTTGTGATTATACAGCTGTAAAATTCAAGACAAATCAGAGCACAGATTCAATATCCCTTTGTCAGGATGGCAGCTCTGCTCCTTCCACCTCTCTGTGTGGCAGTGCTGTGCACCAAAGCACGGTGCTGCTGTTTTTCAGTCTGTATTTATGCAGAACAGGCTCAAAGTCTTAGCAGGCCTAGCAAATCACTACAAGAACAGAGTGGAACTGCTCCTGATCCCAGGGGTTACAAACATCACCCCAAAGCCAAGCAGCCACATTTACACGTGATTATGATCTGTGATTAAAACTTGTGTCCTGGATTCTCTTTCCAGCCCCTTCCCACACAATTTTAACAGGCTGCAATTTGCATTTCTGCTGCTAAATCCTGCCTCAGTCACAGCTATGTGCAGCATCACACACACTGCTCTTTATTTTCAGTTCCTGAGAAGAACAGCCTCAGATGATTTCCCTGTATTTCCCCAGCCACGTAGGAACCTGAGACAGCAAAAAGCACTTCTGAGACTTGTCACTACAGAGCTGGAGGAGTTTGTTCCTGTGGCAGAAGCATCTCCCTCTTCCAGCCCCTTACTTGGGCAGGCCATACTGAGAGCAAATATTGAGCCAAATAAACATCTACACAATGCATGTACAATGCAAACAATTAATTCACTCCTTTGGAAATGTGTCAGCACAAGCTGCTGCCAGCCATCTGCTGGAAGGGAAGGATGGATCCTTCATTTATCTTACAGAACAGCAAGCCTTGCCAAAGCCTCCCTGCTTGGCACTGCAGGAAAAATTAAAAACCAAAATGTAAAAACTGGATGAACCAAGCATAAAATTCCATGGGAAGAGAGGAAAGGAAGGCTGGTGGAATGTGCTTTTGCACAGACCAATTAATTACCAGCACAACTCATAAATGCAGGTGAGTCAAATGACCAGAAGGGTGAACATGCATAAACAACACATATAAATACATAAACACCCCTGAGGATAAAAAGAAGCAGGCCCATTTAGCAGCTTGGAGAAATGACTGTGGGTAACAGCTGCATTAACCATACCAAGGGATCCACCTCTTTTCCCCCTCTGTACCATCACCACAGACATCAGGAAATTACTGGGGCAGGCTTTAATTTCAGGGTCATTATCTCCTCCAAAAGGCTCTGCCTTTTCCATGCTGTGCCTGAGGAAAGTATTCATGGGTAACTCATCAAGCCTGTGCTGCACAAGTGCTGATTGATTAGATCGGCTCAGCTGACACTGCTGGTGACTCAGGAGGGACATTTTTTTGTTTAATAAATTAAAATAAAATAGCTGGAATTAACTGCACCACAAAAACGGTCAATGTGGTTTGTAAATACTAAAATCCTACCAGAATTCCTAAAAAGCTCAATCCAGGCATTGTAGATGTCGGAATATAGTCAAGTCTGGCAGCTCCAACAATTTTATCTGAATAACTGTCCCTCAAAACTAAGCAGTCATAAGCCAAAATGAGTGAGGTGCACTTTGGCAGCCCAACAATGGCATAAAGAGCTCAAAGGGCACATTGGCATTATTTTACAGAGAAGTAAATGTCCATATATATCCCCAAAGAAAGATCTTGTTCATTCCACAGAGTCCCAAAATCTCAGGAATCTAAGAAAAGTTTTAAAATGCCTTCAAATTATCCAAAATATTTAGTTACCATCTCAGAAAATATTAGAATGACATTTAAAAAAGGGGACTGTATGTTGTTCTTTTTGCTGGCAGTTAAAAACTAAGCTATATCTTCTAACGTAGAAAATCAGTTTAGAGAAGATTGCAAATTTGAGGTCTAAAACATAATAGGAAATCTCAAAAATACATTTATTACTTCCCTCCAGACCTGCTCCCACAGTAGACAATTAATATGTCTGACCTGGCATTACTCAAAGCTCCTTAGGACACCCTAGACAGGAAAAAATTTCACTTCACTGTCAATAAACTACAAAACGACTTAATTATATTTCATTGCTACAGATATTTCCCTCAACGAAGTTTCCAGGCACAGAAATTTGAAGTAAAATATTTCAGTAACCAACTGAAGTATTTCCCAACACCTGTGTAGTGTTTTTAACGTTTAACAACTAAAACTTGGAATAGAAATTTAAAGTCAGGTTTTTTTTGGGTTGTTGGTTTTTTTTTTTTTTTCCCAGTGACAGCAACATGGAAATCATGATCTCACCACTCCTGGGAAGATTTTCTGCAGCCTGTCTGCTGCTGCCAGAGCCTTGGGCTTGCCCCCACTCAGGCAATCCTCGAACTCGTAGAGCGGCTGCCGCACAGGGTTGGAATAGGAGATCTTGGCATTGTCCACAAAAGTGATTTTCCTCACCCCCCAGCCCTAAAGGAGATAGGGGTAAAGATAAATTACCAATTTATCTTTAAAGATAAATCAAGATAAATAAAAATAAATAAAGATAATTACAAAAGCCTTGGGAAATCTTTTTGAGGAATGCCACACACTCAACTTTGAGTTCTGTCCACCTTTTTTAAGCTACAAAAGCTTTTGCAATTATTTGAGATAACTGAAATCAGGGAACAAAAAATTTGGTTGGTCCAAATAAAGCATTTAACAGAAATCCCTCAAACGCTGCTGAATTCTGTGGAAAGGGATGAACATCCCTGAAAGGAATTACCAGCACAGTTATTTCAAGTGCTTCACTGTGAATTTGGTCTTTATAGCTTGTTAATTTGTTCCAGGATTTCTTTTTTTTAATATAAATTCAAAATATTCTGCTAAAGTTCCCTTACTATCTCATGTCAGCAGAACTTGAGTTATTTATTTCCCTTAGGTACAGATCTCATCTCTTCCCTGCAATTTATAACATAACTAATGTGCATTCTGTGTGTTCTGATGCAAAGAATGCAATTTGTCTCTGATGTATCACAGCAGTTGGACAAAAAAGATAAAGGAACATAGATTTTATGAGCAACAGCAGATTATTGGTGAGATTAAGGATTTACCATCAAGGTCCTTGCAACACTACAGCCCAGGGTGCCAGCTCCCAGCAGCAGACACTTGGCAGCCACAATCTTCTCCAAATCCAGAGTAGGCACCAACCTCCAGCACATCAACTTCAAATTCAGATCCACGGATGATTCTGCCAACCTGTGCCATGGAATAAATAACAACAGCTTCTGAACCCTCCTGTGCTTCTCCAGCAAAGGAATTACTGATATTTCAGCTGAATGAGTTAAGTCCAAAGAATTTTTTTAAAGGAGAGAACACACAGGTAGTATGAAAAACATACAAGGGCTTCTGAAAAAGTAACAATCCAAAACTAAAATTTTAGCAATAAAATTAATGCAAGTATGAAAATAAAAATGGTATCTCAGCCAAGATTCCTGTTAAGCTGAGTGCTAAGACAGATAACTTGTCCATACATTTTTGTTTCTTTTTCAGACTAAAATTGGTTTCCTGTATCCAGTTACACCTGCCCTTAACATGAAATACTCTACTGTGCCTAAAGCATGTGGGCACTTCTTTGTGGAAGTTTGAGAAAGAAAATGAAGTAGGAAATCTGTGTTCAAGCAAGGGGCAGATTTTTATATCCATCAAACACAGGGTGTTAAAACTCTCACCAAGCCACACCACCACAGCTCTCAGATTCCTGCAAGTTTCATTCCCTCACACATCATAAATAAAATCTTTTCAGCATCCAGAAAATTATTTGTCCAACAAGGAATTAAATGGCAATTGTCAAGGCTGGCATTTTACCAACACCTCTTTGGGAAGCACTTAGATAATTTACACAAGTAAAGAAGGTCAAGAAACTCAAAGAATTAAGAACCCTGAGATGAACTTTATTGAATGTCTGTGAATACTGAGAATTTCCACAAATGCTTGACAAAAATGGTTTTGCTTGATGGGCAAAATGTGAACCTGAACCATCAGACCAAGAGGCTTTTCCAAGGCAAGGACACACATGCAGACACTCTGTAACCCCATTCTTTTCAATCCATTGCCCAAACATCATGTACAGAATGATAAAAATTATTAAAGTCACATTTCCTGAGCTCCTTCCTACCCCACTCTGACAAATCCCAAAGGATGAACTTTCCCCCATGCTTACTTTCATTAGTATCCTGCCAGGTTATACAATTCAGTGAAATTCCACAGGTCTGCAACACTCTGACCTACATTTCACTCAGCTTTAAATAAATAAATTCAGAATTCTCAACTAGAGTCCAGAATGGCCAAGATTTCTGCTGCAAGCAGTGCACTGCTCTGTGAAGGTCCTCACCTCCAAAAGAAAGTCCAAACAATATCCAGTGGATGTTTTATTGCATATTCTTACCTATTTCACATTTCAACTTGCTATGGATTAAATCTAAGTAAAGAAAACTGTGGGAATTTAAAAGATAAAAACCAAACCTTTTTGGATCCATGCATTCACTGAGATTCACCATCCTTGGTCCCATGCCTCCCTTTTGGTTTTTCTCCCATCCAACAGCTTTTGGACAATCTGTTTGAAATATTTAAAATGCACACAAAAAGAACCCCAAAACAAACCCAAACAAAACAAAACAACAAAAACAAAATAAAGGCAAGAAAAAGGAAAGAAAGAATGAAAACCTTAATATCACAGGACAGAAAAAAAGAATATTTTTTGGACTTGACCCTGTTGGAAAAAAACTTATTTTAAACCTGCCAGTAAATAACCTGTACTTTATAACCTGTTACACCAATTGTGCTGTTTACATCAGCTGAAAGTTCCTGGAGAATTTCTTTGCTCTCAGGTGTCCCCTGTGCTGCTTTTGCCTGTTAAGCTTCAAACCTAGCACAGAGCTGGCAGCATTCTCCCTCAGATCTTTAATGTCAAGCTCAGAAAATTCATTATTCAGTCAATTTTGCCAATTTCAGCCATCATTTCATGGTCCCTAGACCCCATCTGCAAATTCCGTGGAGAATTATATATCTTAACTACATATAATTAAATAATTTGCAACAATGACATCTGAAGCACTCATAACTTTTTGCCTGAGGTAGAGAAATTTTGTGATACTCTCCCCTGCCTAGAAATTAAATCTGAGATTATGTTTTAATATTTCAAGTCTACTGCTTTAAAATACACCTGGATGTGTCACCATGGGATTAAAGGAACAGTTCCACTCTGGGGCAGGCTTTTATCATTTTAGAACTTCTCCAGAAATTTCGCACCCCATAAATTCACTATTGTTTTTTTTCCTACCTGAGGGAATCTATGCAAATTCAACAAGAAAAAATGACATGAAGTGCTGTTTTATTGTATTTTCTATGCCACCAGCAGGACTTTTCTTAGCTTTCAATTAGAAACACAATCACAGGAGGAAAAAATTAAGAGAGAATATTCCTCTTTTTTTTTTGTTGAAAAAGGAATAATTTCCTTTAGAGACATTTAACAGAAATTCCAACTATTTAAAATCCATTTGAAACAACTTATGCTAAGTAACCACTCTGCAGTAGTAATTTATTTTGTCATGTCAGCAGTGATTAGGAAGGGAAAAAAAGAGGGGGAAAAATGTTTTTAAAGGATTACCTGGGCCCAGGGGTGCCTCTGGCAGTTTGATTTCAAAGATGATGCTGTGTGTGATGTCTCTCACCCCTTGCAGGGTCCTGTCTCTGAAGCAGAGCACTTCAACCCCCTGCAGAGCACTGCCCCTGCCATTAAAATAAAAGAGAAACAGACACAGACATGCAACTTCTTTAATAGAAACGGGACTTTTTTTAACACCATTCCACACAGGTTTAGTCTCTTGCAGGTTCTGAATTAGGCTTTTTGTCTTGGTACTAAACTTTGTTGTCTTTATCAGGAACAGAAAGAGAAATAATTCCTGAAGGGTAAGAAAATGACTGGTTTGGTGTGACACAGCTCTAAAGCAATGCCACTGTCATCTGTCCTTGCCTTTATCCAGCACTGGACAAACTGCAGATTTAATTTTAAAAATTGCTGAAAAGCACCAGAGCACACATCAGGTGACACTGATGGGACTTTGCTGTGGCACCAAGATCCTCTGAGTTCTCAATATATATAATTTTTTCTCCTTATGATTCAAACTCCCAAACAAAAAATGAGAATTTTAGTGCCTAAACCCCTCTGAACCCCAAGGCTGTGTAAATGTAACACTCAAAACTATGGAAGTGCAACCTAATTACAGTTTTGTTACAGAAACCCAAATTCATTTGATAATTTAAATCCTTTTTTTCAAAACCCAGAGTGTAAAACTGTGTCTTCTCTTCCTATCTTCTCCCCAATAAAAAGAAAAATTCAAGTGGTACAAAAATAAAACCTAAGAATATCTGATTTCTAAAACTTAAGTCTGCTATTACTTGATGCTAATTAATTATTTAAATGCACAGAGTATCTTAAACAAGATTTGACACTACTGGAGAGCACTGGCAGGGTATGAAGCTGGCATCTCCAGGTGAATGCATCCATGTGAGAATTAGGATTAATAGGAGTTTGTGACTGACAAAAGTAAAAAACAGAATAATGCACAAAATCAGAATCACTCCAAGTGGATAATGTCAAGGGAAAAAAACCAAAATCTCAAGTGGGTGATATGAGTGTAATACCGTGGAGAAAAATATCTCATTTAACATCAACCAATAAATCATCTTTGTGGGAAAGAATAAAATAGGTACCATCTGTGGGCTGCCAGGATCAGGAAGTTTCTCAGTGGCCATCCTGGATACTGGGATAAATTACAAGGATCATAAACTCCAACTGTCACCTGCAAATCAAATTGTTCTGCATGAGAACTCATCTATCCACGGTCACGCAAAGGTTATTTGGCATTTTTAAATAAAACTTCTGGACAGAGCAGGCCTACAGACACATTTTGCATATTTATAAATATTTAATCCATGGTCACATTAGGTTTTACTCAGGCTTTTGCCACAGCTTTGAGATTTATTCAGTCTGGCCTCTTCAGGGACACTGGATGTTCACTGCAGTAAATGCAGCCTCACTGCTTTAAAAACACAATTCAGAGGGAAGCCCAGCAACTGAAGCCTTGCCCCTAACCCAAAATTCTGCACTGATTTTGGAATGATCAGAAAGTGACAGGGCACAGGCCAGCAAAAGAACAAATCAAAGGGAAAACAGCATAAAAATCACTTTACAGCCACCCTCAAGACACAACCACCGTGCCCAGCTCAGTATTAGACCTTCAAACCATTCACAGGTTAAAAATTTAATTATATGAAGTTATATAAAGTTCTTATTACCTTTCCTCCTTGGTCATGAAAGAAGCCATCCCACTTTTTCAGCAGGGATATCATGACAGAATTATCATGATACTTAATTAAAAAATAAGGCAGGGCTGTCACCCCCTCCTCCTGGCAGAGGTCATCATAGGCTTTCTGCAGGGCTTGAATCTGAAAGTGCAAACACAACTGAACCAACAGCTTTAACAATTTTGCACTGTAATATGTAATAAGTTAAAATTTGTTTCATTTTTTCCTAAAAAAAGAAAAAAAAATTAACTTCTTTTTCTTGTCTAAACATATATTTTATTAAGAATCTTGTACTTTTAATGAGTTGGCTCACTCAGGGTATGCCTCTTTATAAAGGTTTCTTTTAAATGAGATTCAAAACCAAATCTGTATACATAACTACATATTAATTTTCATTTTTATATACAGCTTAACATATATATCTCAAAAATAAATATAAAATATATAGCTTATCATAATCACCTCTTCAGGATTTGCTTGCCATGCTTGCACCTACACTGAGACAATTTAAACAATCATGAAACAAAAGGTAAACCACAAACCAACATGGAAATAAAAAAAAAGTAAAGTTTAAAAAAGAAATTAAGAGTCTACAATTAATTGAGGATGTGGTGACAAAAAATACTGAGTTTTAAAGCTCACAGAAGTTCTCAATGTTGCAGAATTCACAGTCTTCAGGATTTTGAATACCTGATTTAGTGAGAACTTGTCCCCAAGACAGACAGGTTTCTGAGTAATCTGAATTCCATCAGGGAAGCAGAGAGCAGGGTAGCAAAACCAGTAATAGAAATGATACTTTTTTAAATCCTAGAGAAAAAAAAAAAAAAAAAGTTAAATTAGGTAGTAAGGAGATATATCAAAATAAATGATATAATACTAATTAAAATTAATGGTTTATGATTTTAACCCTGGAAACCACAGGGGTCTTTACTTCACAATGAGTTTAGAAAATCATAAAAATACTAAAGGACTTCATTCTCTGTATATGTTTTTATTTAAGATGTAAAGAGACAATGTGTGTACAATCCTTCAGGCTTTGGTAGCTGGAGCATGTAGTAAAGCTTTCAATTTCTACAACATGAAACAGCTGCTCTACTTTTACTGATATCTGTAAGGCCATCAGGTGATCTTATACATTTGTAGGAAATAATATAAAAATATATGAATGCACCATTATTATTAAGACAAAATATATGAATACTCCTAAAAAGAAACTACTTTACTACTGCCACTAAAAGTAGAAGACACAAATTTTCTGTACTCACTGCAAATGTCAGCAGCAGGAACCTGTTCAACAGCATTGGGTTCTCCAGAGCAGCTCCAGATTTGATTGATTCCCAGATCTGCCAAGGATTGTGGGGACAAGAAGAAAGAAAAAGGGCAAAGAAACACCAGAGAACATGAGAACAGCTCCAAAAATCTGTAATTCTTCCAGCTACCTATAAAGTCTGGAGATAAACGTTCTTTGGCATTCTTTTAAACTGAATTAATTCATACAATTATCTGTGTTAAAAGGATTTTAAAGGTCAGACAACAAGGAATTACGAGGCCACAGGAATGCAAAAAAATCCTAGTTTGGAGTGAAGATATGCATGAAAACTTTGTTACTCAAGGCAATTAATTAAAGGAATCAAGGAAAGGTCAAAGTAAAGCATCTTAAATTTGACTTTCACCTCTCCCCAGGCCATGACACTAAACACACTGGTGACAATGCAGGCAGACCAGCCCCTCTCACCCATCTTTTTCTTGCTTTATTATCTCTCATTATCTTTATGATTATTGCTGCTGTGAAGCTTCACCATCTCTTTGTCACACAGATAAATTGCAGTAATCTGAGGTTTAAACCAGGCACTGCTGGTTTTTGGGTATGAAGACAAATTTTAAATATGTGCTGTACAGAATTTATGTCCCTGGCAGCTCCAAGGGCATTGCAGAGCTTAAAATGTGATGGAGTTCTCCATGTAGAATTACTTATCATTAATTAATTAGGTTCTACTCTTTTGTAGAGAACAGTAAAATGCAAACACCTAACTCTTCTTTCCAGAATAAACTGAATCCTGAGGCTGCTCAAGACTGGAATAGCTCCAAATTTGGGGCAGAGTGTAAAGCACTCCAAGGATTTGGAAACACTCTATGATTTGATTTTAAATCTCACCTCTTTTGCTTCCTTGTCCAGAAGTGCTTTTTTATCACAGGATTTGAAAGTCTCAAAAGTGTTGGTGTTATACAACGTTCCAAAAGCAGGACAGCAACGTGCTGGTATTGAAGCATTCCTGGAAAAAAGAAGGAAAACTCTGGGAATTAACATATCATCAGCAGCAGTATCTATCTTATGGTGTTAACCTCAACCAAATGATGAGGTACAGCAACAAAATTAAAATTAACTAAATAAGTTAATTAATCCTTATGAACATGGATTGATGGAATAATAACCAGATGTGCAAACACACATCTCCATCATGGCTTGAAAAATACATCTGGCATCTGTGTTCTCCCCAAGCACAGTGACACTAAACCAGGGAGTGAAGCTTTTAATTTCTGTTCAAACAGAAGCTACCTGTGACAAATGGGATTTGCACTGAGAAAAACCAATTTAGGCTGAACTTAGATGCCGGTTTTGTACTCACACTAAGAGTTAGTTAAAATTTGATGTTTAAAGCACATCCCAAAGGAAACCCAAGCCAGACAAAAGATTGAGCAGCTTTTATAATTTGTAACATCATCAGCTGGAGAAGCTGCTGTTGCAATCAGTATTTTACTTTTGAGATATATTAGGTTAAAATCCTACAACATTTCCTTAATTTACAGATCTGATGGATTTTATTGCCTCCTTTAACACTGCTCTCTAAACCTGGTATTTTTCCAGTCATAATAGATAAACACTTCAGAGGACATTACAGTGTAACAACCAGGGATCGTCAAAACTATTTGAAATGCTAATTAAGCTATAAGGGAAGGAGTCGACTAAAAAAATCTCCCTAATGCAAAAAAGCTGAGGAAATGGGGGAAAAGTGGTATTTCATATAAATATACACGTAGAAAGTGAGTAAATCTGGGAATTCAGAATATTTTAAGTTCATCCAGAAGGAGTTCACTTTTTCATGACTCAAAGCAGTCTCTGCACTGCTATAAAGTACATTAATTTATTTATTTATCCATGAAATATTTATCCATCATCTGACCTTAAAATGTACTAATACACGACAAAACCTCAGCAAGATCATTGAAAACTGGCCTAGGAATGATGGTGACTGTAACAACAAGAGCCTTTGGTAAAAAGGTTATTTATTTATTCTCATGTAGAGTTGTTTATTCTCACACGAATTTGTTTATTCTCAGGTAGAGCTGTTTATTCTCAGGTAGAGTTGTTTATTCTCACGTAGAGTTTCTCTAACTAATATATCAATTTTATACCAGGAAAGTGTCTCCAAACACAAATGAAGGCAAACCACAACCTGTACTTACATATCAAAGGCACTGAACTCCAGCGTTAATCGAGCTGGCAAACCCGAAGGATCACCTGGAAACAAAAAAGCAGCAACAAAGCTCCTTTTAAACCAAAATATTTTTTTGTTGTTGTTGATGTAAATGACAGCGGAACACACAAAATTCCCAGCCATTCTTTCCAGCGTTTCAGCAGAGCATCTGAAGCGCGGCAGCCGGGGCGGGAGAGCGGGACCGGGCAGGGCGGCGGGAGAGCGAACCGGGCAGGGCGGCGGTGCTCACCGTTGTAGTAGTAGCCCTTGATGAGCTTGGGCGTCTCGTCCAGGCGGTACTGGGTGAGTTTGCGCTGGGTCAGCTCGTGCCAGAAGCCGGCGGCCAGCGCGCTGCTGAACGGGGCGAACTGCAGCGGGCACGGAGCGGCCATGGCCCGGCGGGGCGGCGGGACCTGCGGAACACACACAGCGCCCGCTGGGCACGGGAACGGGAACGGGAACGGGAACGGGACCGACACGGGAACGGCACCGGGACCGACACGGGAATGACACAGCCGCACGGTCCCGGGACCGACACGGGAACGGGACCAAACACTGACACGGGAATGACACAGCCACACGGTCCCGGGACCGACACGGGAACGGCACCGGCACCGGGACCGACACCGGGACATACACGACACCGGCACAGGGACCGGCATAGGAACGGGGAGTGACACGGCCCTGGGACCGACACGGGAACGGGACCGGGACTGACACGGCACCGAGACCGACACAGGAACGGGAACGGCACAGCCCCACGATAATGACACAGCCACACGGCATCGGGACCGACACGGGAACGGCACCGAACCCCGACATGGGAACGGCACAGCCACACGGCACCGGGACCAGCACCGGCCCGGAACATGGACACGGCCCCGGCCCCGAACATGGACACGGCCCCGGCCCCGAACATGGACACGGCCCCGGCCGCCCGGCCCCGTCTATGCGTGGCTGCTGCCGCAGGGAGCGGGCTGAGGCCCGGACACACCGACCGCGGGGCTGCCAGGGGCACTGCGGGAACGGTGCCGGTGCCGAGACGCGGCGGGGGCGGTGCCGGTGCCGGTACCGGGGCTGGGGCAGTGCTGGGGCAGTGCCGGTGGCGGTACCGGGGCTGGAGCAGTGCCGGTACCGGGGTTGGGGCAGTGCTGGGGCTGAGGCAGTGCCGGTACCGGGACTGGGGCAGTGCTGGGGCAGTGCCGGTACCGGGGCTGGGGCAGTGCCGGTGGCGGTACCGGGGCAGTGCCGGTGGCGGTGCCGGTACCGGGACTGGGGCAGTGCTGGGGCTGGGGCAGTGCCGGTACCGGGGCTGAGGCAGTGCCGGTACCGGGGCTGGGGCAGTGCTGGGGCTGGGGCAGTGCCGGTAGCGGGGCTGGGGCCGGGGCTGGGGCAGTGCCGGTACCGGCGTTGGGGCAGTGCTGGGGCTGGGCCAGTGCCGGTACCGGGGCTGGGGCAGTGCTGGGGCTGGGGCAGTGCCGGTACCGGGCTTGGGGCAGTGCTGGGGCTGGGGCAGTGCCGGTACCGGGGCAGTGCTGGGGCTGGGGCAGTGCCGGTGGCCGTCCCTTACCGGCTGCGCCGCTCGCTCCGCACTTCCGGCACGGCGGGCGGCGCACGGCGGTGACGCGGCAGCGTGTGAGGGGCGGGCGGCGCGGGGCGATGGCGCGGCGGGCACGGAGGGCGGCCCCGGCCCCGTGCCGCTTCCCATCCCGGTTCCCATCCCGGTTCCCATCCCGGTTCCCATCCCGCTCCCGGTTCCCATCCCGGTTCCCATCCCGCTCCCGGTCCCGGCCGGAGCATCCCCCGCCTCGGAGCAGTCGGGCGGGCCCGCGTCCCGCAGCGCTTGGAGCCGTGTGCCGCTCCAACTCCCCCGGCACGCGGCGGAGCCCTGAGAAAATGCAGCAATTTAATTTCGTTTTAGTCGGTGAGAAAGTGCCTAAAGGCGCAGCTGCAGTAACGGTTCCTCTCTGGCTGCGGCTGTTGCTGGGAATGTGGGAAGGGCGGTGAAATTCCCCGCTGGGTCCCGGCCCGCCAGGTGTCCCCGGTGCCCACGGAACGCTCCGTGCTGCTAAACATCAGTCCCAGCACATCTCTGTGTGTTGGTGCACATATTATAATAATATGTTAATATAATTAACACATAGTTAATTATATTATAATAACATATATCATTGACATATGTTAATTATATTACAATATGTTATAATAATATGTTATGGACACATAATATTGGCTTTTCGCAGATACTAAAATGGATTTTATATGTGTAATGTTAAAGTAACTTTGTTACATAGTTTTTATTTTGTTGTTAATTAAGCTTAGTGACATTGCTGATATAAGTGTGTTTGCGTTAAAATGCCTGCTTGGATGGGATCACATCCCATGAAGACAGGATGAGGACATCTGTACAGAAACACCAACTATCAGCTCTCACCGTCTGAAGAAAACATGGACTATATTTTGGACCAAATGTACCGACAGTTATGGACCGAAGCCATTCCTATGGAGGTTCATTCTTTTCACTGGAGGTGGTAAGAATGGACTGAAACCACCACCAAGGAATGTGCATGCCCTAAAAAGGCAGAACTGAGGAGGAGCTGTGCTGGACAGTTCTTGGAATTTGTAAAGTAGTTTGGGGAAAAGTTGTTACTATGCATAATTTCTGAGTATGTAACAGGCTGATGCAATAGAAATGGTATATGAATGGTGTTTCCAAAATAGCAAGTGTGCTCTTGACTGAGTGCCAAGAGGCACCCAGCCATAATAACTGTTGCTCTATGGTTCTATTGTCCTTTATTAAAGTTTTAAAATTTTTACAAGAGAGTGAACATGTTTTTCACATCTCCAAGAAATCCCCAGACTCTTGTTGTTTCTCTGAAACTCCATGTCCTCTGACCTTGGCTGTCAACTGGAAAACACTGAAAACATTTTGCAGGAAACCACACCTGAAATATTCTCTTGAGCTTTGGCCTTACATTGGTGGGAGGTTTCTCCATTTCTTACCGAAATTTGCTTTCCTCTGCTTCCCTCACATCCACCAGAGCCACTGGAATTGCCTGTTCAGTGAAATAAACTCAGAAATTTTCTTAGGTACTTGCTATTTAAAATAGACACTATCCCATTTCTCTGTTCTATTGTTATCTAATAGCTATAAAATGTGGTTATCACAAATCCCCTGTCTTTGCTGTTAATACAGTTACATGAAGATCATGGGTAAATTGGCTTGAAATAAAAAAAATTTCAGGCAGCTGTGTTTTCCTTGGTTTAGCTGTTTGAATGTTCTTTATTTTTACCAAAGGTTTTTGTTGTCACAGTCACCATCATTTTTAGACCAATTTTCAATGATTTTTGATCAATTTTCAATGACCTTGCTGAGTTTTTTTTTGTGTATTAGTACATTTTAAGGTCAGAAAAGGTAATTTTATGATCAACAGGACAGATTTCTCAGCAGCCCTTGGGTAAATGTGTTTTTCAGCACTAATAACTGTGGCTGACTTTTATTTCCTCAGGGATCATCTAAATTACCATCCATTTTGGCCAGAATTGCTGTTGCAAATTGGAATAGAAAAAACCAATTTAATGGCTGTGAACCTCAGCAATTGTTTGTGAAAGGTCAGGGATTAGAGCATGTGTTTCAAAAAGTTCTGTTCTCTACTCCAAAGAGGTACATTTTACTACTTGTGCAGGTATTCTTCCTGCAGTGAAAAACTTGTCTGAATTCTGCAATTAATTTTGTTGGTTTTATGTTCTCTCTCTGCATTTTGCCTTATTTCTGCCAGATTTAAGATTCCTAATTGCAGTTTTTCCTGAGTGCAACTTGAAACCAAAGTCAATTAATCTCTGAACCTTGCATGATACACTGATATAGCATAAACTTAAGTCTATTCCTTTAGCATATTTCCCCAATGTATTAAAATGCAGATATATTAGGGCTTCTTTTAATACTGAATCCTTTAAATACAATTAAGAAACTGTTCAGAATGTGGGAAATTCATCAGCACAACAAAAGGAAGGAGAGGAATTTCTTTTTTCTTTGTAACATCAAAGCCGGCCCAGCTTTCAGTTGTACTCCAGCATCTTCTTGAAGTCTTTTTATCAAACATCGAGAATTCTATTATTGTGTTTTTCTCTTGAAATATTTGACAGCAAGATGTATGAAATACAATTAAATATAAAAGGTAGAAAAGGTAAACATATTTTATGTATAATCAGCTATATTCCTCAAGTCTAGAAACAACAGCACACTCTTCTGGAGCAGATGGTGACAGTATATTGAGCATGGAAACCCTTTTGGGACGTAAAATCTACTTTTTTTTTCAGCAAAGTTAATGTACAGTTAATATAAGCATGATATCAAAGAGATACAGTAGCATACACAATAAAACTTGACACTTGATGAAAAGTTTGTGCTTTGGAGGAAGCTATAAATAAATAGGGGAGTTTTTTTAAACAGTTTCAGGTTCTTTGTGCAAAGTACCTCCACTTGCAAATCTCACTTCACAAGCAATGTGTGTAATGGAGTAAGTTGAAAGAGAAAAATGTTTGTGGCCAATGACAGAAATGTGATTTCTTCCTGTTCTGTAGCTGAATAATTTATAATCACTGAAGAGATTTATCTGTGTCTCCGTTTCTGTGATGGAAGTGGTGGTCTCAAACGGTAAAAGGTTGACAGCAGTGTAACAGTTCATGTTCTGACCTTGAGTTTTTCAGATTCTTGACCTGAAGTCGTTCTTCAAATATGTTAAAACTATTAAATGCACATCTCCCACTTTTAGCTCCACTTCTTTACAGATTACAGTTTGCCAAAGTCTTTCACTGTACCCATCCTTTGAAACCAGAACATTTCGTGTGGTCGAACTCCTGAGCTGCACTTGAGCTCCAAAACCCCAGCCCAGCATCAATGAATGTGAAGGATCTTTTTAAAAGTCTTCTTGAAATTCTGGTTACAGAGAGGATAGAGGAATGGGTTTAAGGTGGAGTTGATGTAGCCCAGCCATATAGTGCCCCTGTGCAGTTCTAAGAGCTGTTTGTGGTCGTGGAAAGTTATCACCATGAACAGCACGAAGTAGGGGATCCAGCAGATCATGAACGCTGCCATGATCACCCCCAGCTGCTTGGCTGCCTTCCTGTCCCTGTTGCCGTGCCGGTGGATGCTCCTGGAATGGCTGTGCAGGGCATGCCAGGTTTGCCTCAGGAAGGTCGTTCCCCTGGAGTCCCTGGTGCTCCCCTGAGGAAGGCAGGCTCCTTCGGGGCTGGGCTCTGCCTGGGGGGCCACCTCAGTGAAGGTGTGGTTGTCTGAAGCCCCACTGGAGTCACTGTCCGGGCAGTCAGGCTGCTCCTTGTCCCCAGGTTTTTTCGTGGCACACGCCCCCCTCTTCCCTGCTTTATCCAAGCCAGGCTCAGCCTTGGCTGTGGTGAGGGAGAAACAGCTCCACTTCAGGACCTTCCCATCACACAGGGCCTTTGAAGCCTTGTCAGGATGGCTGAAATGAAGCTCTGCCTCCACTTTTTGGGTCTCTGGGGAGTTTTTCTTGTCAGCACCGGGGGTGTTCTCACCTAAGATTTGCTCCTGGAGGCAAATATTTTTGTCATCCTTTGTCTTGCTCTGATGCACGGTGTTTTTTTCCGTGGAGGACCAGTGAGACCTGTTGTTGAGCTCTCGGTGCTGGCAGTGTTTTTGAACAGCCCTGAAGATTTTGCAGTAGAACCACAGCATCAGCAGGGAGGGCAGGTAGAAGTTGAAAATAGCCGCCAGCACTTTAAACCAGGTGACTTTGAAGAATTCCGTCTCACACTTGTTTTCCTCCACCGTCCTTTGCCCGTTGTTGGCAAAAAGGTGCCAGCCCAGGATGGGGATGACCCAGGTGAAGGAGAGCAGCCAGACCCCCAGGATGAGGAGCGAGGCTCTCATCTTGGTGCGGTACTTGAGGTACTTGAGCGGCTGCTGCACCGAGCGGTAGCGGTCCACGCACAGGATGAAGAGGTTGAAAATCGAGGCCGTGCTGGCCACGTAATCCATGGAGAGCCAGAACAAGCAGGCTTCCAGCCCCAGGGGCCACGCGGGGCTCAGCAGGTCCACGATGTTCAGGGGCATCACGGCCGCCCCCACGATCAGGTCGGCGATGGAGAGGCTCACGATGTATAAATTGCCCACAGTCTGCAGCTTCTTCTCCATTTTCACAGCACACAGCACTAGAATGTTCATGACAATGGTGACCAGGGAAATGCCTCCCAGGAGCAGGCCTAGGAGGGCTGGGGGAGTGTTGCTGGAGGCCTGTGTTGTGTTGTTGGACATCTTTTTTGCCGGCTCACAGAGTGAGAATCGGAGTGGGCGTCCAGGCCTTGGACGTTCAGTCATGGTTTGCACTCCTGGATGAAAACGTGTTGGGTTGCTTGGGGATTTTTATTTCCAGAACTAGAGGAAAGAAAAAAAACGTACTCAGTCACTGTAGTAATAAGATAATCAAGCTAATTTGTACCTCAGCTTAGCACTGTCCCTTTTAGGGCTTTCCTAAGCAAGAAATTTTTACAGCATTTTAAATACAGGTAATTTGTGTTTTATGAAACCCCACTAACCAATCCCAAACAGTTTTCATAGAGCTTCATCTCTTTCTTCAGATCCCACAATCCGAAGAAGAAATTGAATTCCTCACAGTTTTAATTCATTATATCTGATTAAACAGCTGATCATGAACCATAACATAAGCTCCATATTGGCAAACCAATTTAAAATGTGCTAGCAAAAAGCAATATTAACATGTTTTGTACTAAATAATTTAAACAAGCCAGTGCTTATTTACAACCTCCATCTAACAGTTTGAGAATCCAGCAGCTGGCAGTCAGTAGGCAGTCATTCAAATTATAGGTAATGAGTAATCTCTGCCTACACAATTTAGGCTCACACAGATTTGAAACATTTTTAAACATTATTTGAGATCAAATAATTTTTTTCAGGATTAATAAGCATCTTCTGCTTCCCAACTGCTAACTTCATGTATTGATCCACAGTGCAGAACTGATTAATAGTATGTCATCTTGGAGCAAATGATCAACTGACCAAATTCCGCCTCCACTCCATTGCTGAAAACTGTCTGTGAGGGTAACACACATTCTGTGCCATTTCATAGCTTGTCTAAGTTTATGTTCTGGTAAATCTCTTAAAGCAATAAGGAAGGAAATTTAGACTGTGAATATATTTGCTCAAAGTATTTACACAACTGGCACTGAGGTATGCGTGGGATTTCTCACCCTCAGAACTCTAAACATGGCCAGAGCAATACAATGCAACAGATTGTTCAATAATCAGCATTTCTTATTGAAACTCAGTGATGCAATATTTCATTTAACTTCATCCTTTTTATTCCAGTAATCAGGGTTTAAACTCAAATGATTTGTACTGCCTTATGAGAGGTCAAATTCCTTCTAGCCTGGGCTTTACTCACCGGTGGGTGTCGGGAGAGGAGCCGTGTCCTTGGTGCCAGCAGCATCCATAGGAAGAGGAGACAGGAGCACCCTGGGGAGTGCTGTGATCCTGGATTCCTTCAGGCTCTGCCAGGACAATTCCTCTGTGCCAGCTGCTCACAGCTCAGAGCCCTTGAGCATCTCCTGAGAATGAGGACAGAAATGACTCCATGGAAGTTAAACCAGCATGTCTGGAATGTGGTTACATCCCAGGCTGTGTCTTTGTCTCCACCTCTTCAAGTGTGTTTGAGTGTAGGGGGCATGGCCAAGGCAAGGAGCTGGTGTAAGATGCTGGAACGACTGATCTTCACCCCCACATACTTCCATTTAAATGGATGGTAAAATAAAGGGAGAAAAGGCAACTTTAAATGAGTCTTCAACTGAAAAAAATACCAGCAAAGAAAGCTGCCTGGTTAGACAGCTCTCCTTGGTTGCATATGAAATATATGAACTGCATCTGGGCTTGGACTGCACGATCTCCAGAGATCCTCCCAGCCCAACAACTCTGGGATTCTGTGAATAAAACAGCAGAATGCAGTAAATGGTGTTCACTGCTTCCCAAACCTTCTCCTTAGCACTGCTGAGGTTGGATAGGGCAGGATTTGGGAAGCAACTTGCAGAATTGATCAGGAGTGCTCCTGCTCCAAAGCAGGTTACTGTGCCCTTTCTTCAGGAGCTACTGATGTAATTCCTTATCTCTGACTCAGTTGCCAGTAGAAGAAAGCCATAATAATGAATAAATGGGGTTTAATGTTTGCACAGTTTAATTACACTGAAACAAAGTACACTAAGACAGGACAGATTGGAAAAAAAAAAAAAAAAAAAGAAACCAGCCCAAAACTTTGGATTGCTTTGTGGAAATTCTAAACCCTGACCTCACCATGAAATGCCTCCTTAATTTTTGCTGTTTGGGAAGGACTTTTTCTACAGCGAGGCTCAGCAATCATGATTTGTTATTGTATTACATTTCCAAGGAACAAGAATCTATTGGGAGATGCTAAGTGGATGCCTCGGTGCCTCATTAGTGTGGTGCAATCTATTAAGCCCTGACTGAGTGGGAGAAAGTTTCCAGAAACTGGCATGTCTCTTGCTGACAGATTTTTAAGAAATTACAGCTCCAAAGAGCAAAATTCTTGCTCATCAGACTAAATTCAAGCAGAAAGTGAGATTTTAATTCAGGTGGTCTTTACTCACTCTGTTGTACTTAAGAAACTTATTTATTTCTAGTGATTTTTTTTTACCCTAAATTATTCTTGAGTTGTTGAAAGTACTAACATACTAGAAGTTTGGTTAATTTCCCTCTCAAAAACTCATTTATCTCTCTGTAAGCGAACCGTCCCTAGCCAATGCCTGGCAATATTCAAAGAATATTTTTAATAAAAAGTAAATGAAAAAACTTGGTAAACCTGCCTGTTGTTCCCACTCAAATGACAATGTCTCAGCCCAGCCAGGACAGTTTGGAAATGTACCTTCAGTATCCTTCAAGCAACATAACCAGCTACTTAATTAAACAATTTTCTACACACCACTGTATTTACTTTCTTTTTTTCCTAAGTAAATTTATTATGTTTAAGTTCCAGCCTTAATGTGAAATTATCAGGAGATAGATACAGACTTTTTTGACACTGGCTGGCATTTTTTAAACAACTCTCTTTAACACTTGGCCTGTATTCCATGAATATTAAAAACAGTTAACAGAAGATGGACACATTCCAAAGAATGTTTTGGCCTTCCAAATATAAGCTCAGACTTCCATGAAACTCCTCTTTTAGCAGCTCAATTTTCTAGTTTACGTTGTTCAAAATGTCAGTTTTTCCATGACAAGATACAGTCTTGTTCTTGTGATAGCATTTCCCAAATATGGATTATTTTTGCTAAGAGATTGGAGGAAAAATTCAACTTGACAAGAATCCCAAAGCTTCCAGATATGGTATTAATTTTCCCTGCTTGTCTAAACATTATCAATATCAACTAGTTTGTCATCAATGTCATCTCTTAGCAAAAGAGTATTTAAATATAATTTTCTTTAAGTACTGCTGTGCTGTCTTATATTCTTTGCTCTATTACCTGTGAGTAAAAAGAGAATTTGCTGTAGATGCCAGACCTGTGAAATCACTGCTGTAATGACAGAAAAGTCCTTTGTGCTGTGATGCAGGAAATAAACCCCTGAGCCATAAAATCCCTTATAAACAACGGGGATTTTCCCGGGAATGTGGGGAAAAGCTGAGCAGCTGCAGTGCTGCCTTTCCGTTCTGGGTTTGGAACCCAAAAAAACTTGACTTTTTTGGACTCCACCTTGTCCTACTACTGACTCCAACCCCTGACAACTGTAAAACTGGTGGCTTTATCCCTCTGCATCAGAAATACAATTAGCTTTTAAAAATGTAACTCACCCTGTCATTCAAACATAAAGATCTCGTTCTTTCCAAGTGGCTTGGGACATCACTACTCACAAAAGTAAAAAATAAGGTATGTGAATAAGAACTGGGAGTTCTTTCAGTGGTGAGGTTGAATCACAATGAAAAGTCTTTGGGGATTTACTTGAATTCAGCTCAAGTGAACTTTTGGTGCTTTGGAACTGTGTGAAATCCATCACAAAATGCACAGATTTAAAAATCCTAGTGGGTGTGAGGAGTCACTGTCTCCTTGTACTGGGAATAAAAGTAAACCCTGTTACTGAGAGATTTATTTTAAGTCACTTATTTTTTAATCTTTAATTTGGAACCAGTATTTTCAGTCTCTTCAAACATCTGGTGAATTTACCATAGTAATTTCATGAGTTCTTTCATATTTTAGCAATAACTCATTGAAAATATGAAACTTTTCCTTTCTAGAAATACACACCTGACTTAAACAAGCTCCTTTGTTTTTTTTTCAGGCAGTTTTAATGTTTTTTTCTGGGATTAGGCAGATGGTAAAGGGGCACAGGGTTTCTTAATAGTGAGAGAGCCTGGTGTTGTGCAAGTAAAAACTTTAAAAACATATTATCCAAGAATTCCCATTCCTCTGCATCATTCTTATCTGTAAAGGAAAGCCTGGGATGGCCACATCAAGAATGGGATAAGGTTTAGGGCAGGTTATGTCCCTGCTTTAAGGTCAGCCCCCTCAGGATGTGCTGCACTGGTATTTGAGGAAAGATCTGTATGAAATTAATGCATTTACAATTTTTCCTCGCAAGAGCACAATTGTTTTCAGAAGGTGGTGAGGGTTTAAGTTATTTCTCATCCTCTTTGTTCTACTGTTCTCCCTTAAAACAAGGAAACCACCCCTCCCTGCCCATTTTTCCGTGTACCCTTCCCTTCCCTCACCAGAAAGATGCTTGAAAGAAGAGCGTAAATATTTTCTGAGCAAACAGGAACTCCTCGAACCATCTTAATTCAAGTGTGGCCGTTAAGTACAGTGGGGAATCTGGGCTTTATCCATCTGTTTCCCTTCCCTTCCTTCCCATTTCCATGTGAGCATCCCCTCCCTGCTCTGCCCTTTGCTGCCCGGGGGCAGGGGGCGAGCCTGGGGACCTTTGGAGCTGCTGGATCTGCAGCTTGGACAAATGTCCTCCGGGGAGAAAGCTGGCTGAGCTACAGGGTATTGCTGCACTTTTGGGATTTTCCTTCAGCTCGGTTTGCCCCTACGGGAGACCCTTTGCTCCACTCTGCTGCTCTGGGCTGGGATGCGCCGGGTCAGGAGCAGCCAGAATCTGCCAAGGGATTCTGTTTGTGCTGAGGGAGAGTTCTCAAAAGCGGGATGTGTGTGCTGCTGAGCTGTGCTGCTCCTGTTTGCGCTCGGGAGGGACAAGCGAGTTCCGAGGAGCCGCCCGCGCTGCCCCATCCCTCCCATCCTTCCCATCCTTCCCATCCTTCCCATCCCTCCCATCCCTCCCATCCCTCCGGTCCTTCCCATCCTTCCCATCCTTCCCATCCTTCCCATCCTTCCCATCCCTCCGGTCCCTCCGCCGCCCCTCGCCCCAGCTCCTCCTGCCTTTCCCCGCTGGGCACTCACCGGCGGCCGGAGGAAGCGGGCAGCGGCCGCGGCAGCTCGGGCAGCGGGGCCGGGCGGAGCCGCTCCTCCTGCCCGGGGCTGGGCTGGGCTGGGCCGGGGCGCGGGGGAGGCGGAGGAAGCGATGGGAAGCGATAGGAGGCGAAGAGAAGTGATAGAATGCGGTGGGATGCGTGGCAGGTGGTGGGAAGGGATGGGATGTTTTGGGAAGCGGTGGGATGATATGGGAGGCGTGGCAGGCGGTAGATGAGGTGGGATGCTTTGGGAAGCGCTGGGATGCTTTAGAAAGCGGTGGATGCTTTGGGAAGCGGCGGGATGCTATGTGAAGGGGTGGGATGCTGTGTGAAGGGGTGGGATGCTATGGGAGGCGTGGCAGGCGGTGGATGCTTTGGGATGCGCTGGGATGCTTTGGGAAGCGGTGGGATGCTTTGGGAAGCGGTGGATGCGGTGGGATGCTTTGGGAAGCGGTGGGATGCGGTGGGAAGTGGCGGGATGCTTTGGGATGCTTTGGGAAGCGGTGGGATGCTTTGGGAAGCGGTGGGATGCTTTGGGAAGCGGTGGGATGCTTTGGGATGCGGTGGGATGCTTTGGGAAGAGGTGGGATGCGGTGGGAAGAGGTGGGATGCTTTGGGAAGCGGTGGGATGCTTTGGGAAGCGCTGGGATGCTTTGGGATGCTTTGGGAAGCGCTGGGATGCTTTGGGATGCTTTGGGAAGCGGTGGGATGCTTTGGGAAGCGGTGGGATGCTTTGGGAAACGGTGGGAAGCGGTGGGATGCTTTGGGAAGCGGTGGGAAGCGGTGGGATGCTTTGGGGGGTGGTGTGATGCTTTGGGAAGCGGTGGGATGCTTTGGGAAGCGGTGGGTGCGGTGGGATGCGTTGCCCGCGGCTCGGCTCTCCCCGCCCGCCGCAGAGCCCCGGCTGTGGCCGCAGACCTGCGGAGATGTGAAATAATGTGAAATAATGTGAAATGTGAGCTGGCTGCAGCGGGGACGTGACGTGGGGGCTGACCCGAGCTGAGCCCAGAGTCTGCGGAGGATCCCAGAGCAGTCCCGGGGCCGTGCCAGCCTCATCAGCCCCAGCGCTGTCCCCCTGCTCTGCTCAAGTACCTGGAGTTCCTTGTCGTGCAGCTGTCTTACACAACTACTTCTATATTGTAAATGCAGGAGAACCCAATGGGAAGAAATGACGATGTCTGACTCAATCCAGAAGGCTGAATGATTTCTTTATTGTAGCTATGCTAAAATACATTAATATACTATATAAAAGGAGGATACTAAAACTACAGATTACTTTATCTGACTCTAACTCTAACACAACTTGTGACCCTCTCTCAAAAGTCCAGACACAGGTGGATTGGATTGGATTGGATTAGATTGGATTGGATTGGATTGTCCATCAGGCTCAAACAATCCTCACCAGAATCCAACCAAGCAATCACTTCAGGTAAACAATTCTCCAAACACATTCCACATAGGAAAAACAAGGAGCAGAAATAGAAATTGTTTTCTCTTTCATTTCTCTCTGTGCACCTCTATGAAAAATCCTGAGAGGGAGAGAAATGTGCTTGCCACACTTCAAGACCTAGAAAAATGCCACATGTGTAACACATTATTGCATATTTAGCTAAACTGATGTTTTCGGGTTTTTTTTTCATGTAGGTCCAGTACATCTGCTCTGTGTTAAACATAGACATAGGATTTGGGAGATTTTTTTGCAACTACCTTACTAATATTCATTCCTTTCTTTAAGACCATGCTTATTTTTCTCTCATTTTTAAAAATGTTTAGAAACGTGTTGCACAAAACTCTCTGTGGAGTCAAACGGGGAATTTTGTTATGTAGGTGACAAAGAAATTGTGCAACGATGTTTTCTGCAAACAGCATTGTTGGGCACTTGATAACTTCATTGTTTGAGGAGCTGGTGAAGAAGTATTGTAAACTTTGCACAATTCCTCTCCACCATGAGCAAACAGGAAAATACAGGAAATCCCCATGTACCTGCCCTCAGTCTAAGAGGATAACATCCATTGCCAAAAGGTGCAACTCTCAGCAAAATGATACATCCATTAACTCCTTTTTTGCTGTTACTAAGGCAGTCTTTTTGCTCAAAGTTGCTCCCTGTCCCATTGCAATTATGATAAACCCGATTTGGGTTTTGGGACCCAGCTTAGGTCCTGTCTCTGGGTGTCAGAGCAGGGAGCAGGCTCTGCTCAGTGCTGCTGGGAAGCAGAAGAGGCAGCAGGCAGGAAGGGATGCCCTGGACAGGAGGCACAATTTTCCCCTGGGCAGCGACCAAGCACTGGCCAGATTGCCCAGTGAGGGTGTGGAGTGTCCCTCCCTGGGGATGTTCCAGAGCTGTGTGCCCACAGCCCTGTCCCTGTGCCCTGGCATGGCCCTGCTGGAGCAGGGAGGTGGCACCAGCTGAGTCCTGGGCTCACTTCCAGCCTGAGCCGTGCTGGGATTCTGTGCTGAAGGCTTTGCCCTGGAAAATGGTTGTGCAAGAGATGAAAGTCTTTTCTTGCTGGTGCCTGTACACAGGACTGAAGAACAAGTTGTGTGCTCCCAGTCCCACTGCCCGGCCCAGGATGTTTCTGCAGCAGTTTCCTGCTCAGTCTCCTTTGCTGTTTGACCTCTTTGCTGAGTGCAAACGTGTTTCAGGTAGCACACTGTAAATCAGGGCTGTTTATAACTTTTATATAACACTGATTTGCAACTGCTCCCTGTGTTTATTCTCATTTGGACTTCCATGCAGACGAGGCTTCCCACAAGCACCACCAGAGATGGAGGCCTTAACCCCCTGCTGAAGTGCTGCTGTGAGATGTTCCTGCCTCCCAGCAAACGTGTTTGTTCCAAACTGGATTTAACGTCCTTTAGAATGCCAGGGGC